TTATGTTAAATACAAAACCTACCAGTTTCCCTTTCAAAAAAATATTAGTGCAACATTTTTTGAATTTTACTTACAAACATTTATGTATTTAACATAAATTAAATGATTCAGAGTGAAATGCCCATAAAGAGCAGAATATTTGTTCATGTAATGGAGGAAACCCACAAAGAGTTGGTACTTTATGGGTCATTTCTTTTTTAAAAAAAATTTAATTTATGTTGAAAAGATAACCTGCCAGTTTTCGTTTTGTAAGAAATCAGTGTAACACTTTTTGAATTTTACTTACAAATATTTATAAATTTATCATAAATTATATGTTTGAAAGTAAAATACCCATAAAAAGTTGGTACTTTGAATAGATAATGCTCATTTGCCCATAAACTACACTCTCTGAAGGCTATTTTGTTAATTACTTTGTAGTACTTTGTTATTCCTTTGCTAATACTACTTGGCATGTAGTACAAAAGATAAATCTGGCATAAATTTCTTATTCCATTGATAAAAAGACCTGCCTGCCTTATAACTATTGTAATGAAAGATATATCTTTAGAGTTTATAACAAATTATTACTTAAGTTTGAGAAAATTATAAAATATTTATGCATAGTTTATCAAGATACCATTCGCAATTTCCTAATAAAAAAATAGGGGCTAAATTGTAAAAGTTAGGGTGCCATAATAGAAATAATAAAATTGGTGTATTACATATGGGGGTTAAATTGTAAAAGTTAGAGTGCCATAATAGAATTAATGAAATTGGTGAATTACATATGGGGCTAAATTACAAAAGTTAGGGAGTAATAATAGAATTAAAGAAATCGGTGTACTACATATGAAGCTAAAATGTAAAAGTTAAGGTATCATAATGGAATTAATGGAATTTTTTACAACATTTGGGGCTAAATCGCAAAAGTTAGGGTGACACAGTAGAATTAATGAAAGTGACTTAAAAATAATTACTTTAAACAGTGATAATTAATTCTTGTCACTAAATCCGAATCGGTAGAGTGACAGTGACGATATTAGAAGTTGTCACTATAGAGATCATTTTAGTGACAACTTTTTCAAGGTCGTCACTGAACACTTAGTTGCTTTGAGCTATTATGACAACTTTCCTTGTCGTCACTAAACAACCACGTTTTGTGACGACTTTTGTCGTCACTAAAAAATGTTGTCACTAATGACCATATTTCTTGCAGTGTAGTTTGTGACGAAAATAACGGGTCGTCACTAAACATTTGGTTGCTTTGATGCAATTGTGACAACTTTAGGTGTCGCGACTAAAGAAGCTCCTTTTGTGACGACTTATTGTCATCACTACAAAATGTTGTCACTAATAACTTTTTTTTTTCGTGATCAGTGACGACAACAAAAAGTCGTCCGTAAATAACTTAAATTAATATTTAAGTAACTATGACTAGTTTAATAAATCATCAAATTTTAAAAAAAAATTAAATTAATATTGAGGCTCACAATTAAATAAAGTCATAGTTAATAAATCATCAAATTTAAAAAAATAAATTAATATTGAGGTTCACAATTAAATAAATGCATTAGAGATGTTCAAGTTAGTGATGATACTTATGTTGTCACTAACTACACTATAGTTTTATTGACAAAAATTGGTCGTCAATAAACATAAACAGTGACAACAACGAAAAGTTGTCAAAGAAAGTGGTAGAATTACTGACAACTTTTATCAAGTCGTCACTATCGCAAAACTCGCGCCTTCCAAGTCCCATGGCGCGAAGTAGTTTTGTGACGACAATTAAAAGTTGTCACTGAAAACTCAGTTGCTTTGAGTCAATTGTGACAACCTTCAAAGTCGTGACTAAACAACCTCATTTTGTGACGACTTTTTGTCGTCACAAAGAAATGTTGTCACTAATGACATTTTTTCTTGTAGTGAGTTCACGTGATCAGATTTAGGAATCACACAAATGCAAGGAAAGGTATAATTATTTCTTCAAAATACCAACCAAGAAAAAGAAAAAAAACAAAAAAACAAAATTGCAGCCCCCTGTATGCAGAATGTCTGTAAATAATGCAATCCAGGATCAGAATCATCAGAATCCCAAAACACTCACTTTTTGCAATTGAAAGCAAGAGAAGCCTTCGCAAGCTTCTGTTTCTACCGTGAGAGTAAGCGGTAAGCCACTCACTCAATCCTCATCAACTCATCCTTCAAAAAGCCTCTACTATTCCATTTGTTATTATTATTATTTAATTAATTTCACAAATATTAGGGGAGCAAATGCGATTCATAAGTAGCAGCAGTAAATTTATTTTTTCTTTAAATAAAAAAACAAATATCGATCATAATCCAAATCCCACAACACAATTCAAATCGTCGGATGTCCAGAACCATCAAGTTACAGAAAACTTCATTTGACGAATATAATGCAGGAAGAACGTTGAATGTAAAGGAAAATGCGCTTACCGTTGAGTTGAGCAGTAAAAGATATTTGAGAATCCTCCCCTAGACGGCTTCAATATATACAAAATATTTGAGAATCTTGCACTTTGTTCGCGATTGCTGAGGTGATGGGTAGATGCGTGGCAGAGCGATGCCGGAGACGGTGGTGGAAGAGGGAAAATGTTAGGGTGGAGGTGAAGGGGATGACGCAGAGCAATTAGATTAGAGGTACTTGCGGTTGAGGAAAAGTGTCTAATTAGATAGCGAGAGAGGGCCGCTTACCTAGTTGACCCGGTTTTAATTTTTTACCCGCTAGGATCCGCGTACTAACCCGAATAGGAGGTGAAATTATGGAATTAGAATTGTAATTCTTAGGTCTTACCAAAGAATTGAATTTGTGGAATTGATGGCTCATAGAATTCAAATTGAATTCTAATTCTCTCACATAGATAGCGTCCAAACCGAAGATTTGGAATTGATGCTCCAATTCTAATTCTAAGCCTCCAATTCTATGGGAACCAAACACACCCTAAGGGTTTTTTCTAACGGATGCCAAATGGGTATTGGTTAATATAATTAAAATTCATCTAACCTACCATGTATATATACATAATAACAATTAATTATTACCCTTCCTTATATTTATATATTTTTTCTATCTAATCTTACCTACCCTCTCTTCTCTTGTATTTATTTACCTTTTCTAATTAATTTTATATTTCTAAAAATATAATATCTAAAATATATCTTAACAAGTGCCCAATAAGCACCCGTATATCCATGAAATAATTCATACAATCCGGCAAATTAAATTTCAAGATTAGCGCACAAAAAAGGATCACGGCACAGGATATTTGTTACTCAAAATGGTAACATATTAGGATTTCAGGATAAACAAAGATTGTTCGTTCCATTAATTTGATGCCAGTAATACACTTCGACTTAAACATTTTATTTCTTTGATCTCATTCCTTCCACCTTTTCCTGTCTGTGCCAATCACTTTACAATTTTCTGTTACTCATTTCTCCCTTTGATTTCTCTTTTTCTTCCCCCCTCGCATCGTTCAAAATGTTGCAAAAAAAAAAAAAAGAAAAAATTTGCCCAATTGAACATCTTTGATTCAATTATTTCCCCTTCTTCTGCATTTAGAGCCTGGACATGTATTTCCTTGCATTTCTGAAGTTAAGAAAAACACAGTGAATAATACAGTGCCACAAAAAGAGTAGCGTGAGAGGCTGATTTTCTTCCAACCCTTTCCCTTAACACACATCCAGTGCTGGTTTAAAAGTACAAAACGCAAGGTAAATATTCTTAGAGTTCAGTCTTGAAATAGAAGTCACATACAAATCAAGAAATGGTACTCATTCACCATTCGTGTTATTACCTTACCCTTTTTGCCTGTGAACTTTTTTCTTCTTCTTTTACCTTTTCAACTCAAGGCTCCAAGGTCTAGTATAATTTGCACACGGTCTAGACACAGTGATACTGCCATAAGAGAGACAACATAGCTGCTTAATTGAAGTATACATACAGAATAAGCAAATCTAAGAGCATCTATTGCCCCAAAAAACATTGAGTGCTTCAACCAAACAAAATTATGTTTTGAAGTGAGATAGATTACCAAGAAATTTATAATACTCCCTCCGTCCCACTTTGATAGTTCTGGTTCTTTTTTCACACAATTTAATAAAAAGTAGTTAACTTTATTGGAACAATCAATTTAGGTAACTATTTTCCTAAAATACCCTCACATTAATTAGAATACAACTTTATGGGAACTTGAATTGATGGTAAAAAAAGAATCAACTCTCATTAAATGGAGTAGGTTATAGTAACAACAACTTACATTGAATAAGGGTATTTTAGAAAAATTAAAATACAACTACATTCTTCAATTGAAAAGTGGATTATAATTTGGGACAGACGAAAAAGGAAAACATGACTATCAAAGTGGGACGGAGGGAGTACAAAACTACATTCCACTTATCAAGAAGAGTTAAACTTTGCTGAAATTACCTCTTTTTTTTTTGGCTGAAAATATAAAGAATAGTAATTTGCTTAACAACACTTGAATTCTAACCTTAGTCTTACAAGATTTTTTTCGACAAAGGGGCATACAATGTACTTGCAAGGTACTAGATCAGAAGCAACATTGAATAACAAAATTATATGATATATGTAGATGCATATGTTTTGTTTATTTGAAGCAGATTACTGTTCACGGGACAAATTTTAATACATGTCTGATTTGATGTTATTTGACAATATCCAACAGTTTGGACCGGATCGGAGGAATTTTCTTCCAACTCTTAACCTCAACAGAATTTCTGGTTGAAATGTATTAAACGTGTGATAAATTAACATTCAAACTGAAACTTAGTCCATACATATTATAAGATGGTCATTCGATGTTCGTGTTTTCACTTTGTGGCGTATACGTTAATCAAGCTGAAGTTAGTTAGACGAACAAAAAAAATCTATAAAATCCACCTCAAGATTCTACTTGGCTGTACACAGTTCTCTGTCTTTTATTTGTTTCTTTAACTAGTGATCAGCATCCAAAGACCCCAAAAAAAAAAAAAAAGATGAGAAACCAGTGGATAGCAGCAGTGTTTATCATGGCATTCTTGGTTTTCAGTGCTCATTCTGATGACGATGATTGTTATGAGGCTTGCATGCACTTCTGCTCAGACACTCTTTCTGAAGACTGTAAGCTCCACTGTGAATCTGTTTGCTCTGATAAGGTTCCAAAAACTGTGGATGGACCATTTTTCTGCAAGCTTGGCTGTTCCCTTCGTCAATGCTCTCACATTTCTACAGGTAAACAACTACTTGGTCATCTCTCCAGTTCTCTCTAATACTCAGTCTGCACAAAGTTTATACACATTTGCAAGGGGGGGAAAAAAAAGAAAAACACTTCAATTTCTTAATGATTATATTTTGATCTTGGACAGATAAGGCGAAATTTCGCAGCTGCATGGACAACTGTGGGGAGAGCTACTGCAAGCTACCACATCGCAATTAAGTAGCCAGCCAAGCTGGTGTGAGGCTAGCTATAGCCAGCAGTATGACAATGAAGTCCAAAATAGTCTCCTATTAGCGAGTCAAGCTGGTGGAATAAGAGGACTATTCACTTGAACTTCACAAATATGAACTTTATGATGAATTTTCTATTCCTGTCTTTGGCTTTAAACATTTAATGAATGTAATAATACGTAAGTGAAGAAAGAAAGTCAATCGTAATGAAACTTTCCTCATAAATCCAATCTATTTATGACGAAAGTTTATCATTAATTGCCTGAATTAAGTTGGTGAAATTTCTAAATTCTCACCTTCATTTCTTCGATAATTATGGATTCTCGCTCAAAGGCATCTCACTGTGTATCACCCTTGTAACTATTCCAGACATTCATTTTCTTTCTATCAAACTGCTAATTTAGCATTTATCAACCAAAAAACAAATGCAAATTTAGCAAATGTCATCCCTATTTGTCGCCAGAAGAGAGATTTTCTTTCAATCAAAATAGTGTGACGTTCAAGGATAGGTGCCACAGCTCTCAGTCTCAGAAACATTATGCATGCAGCTGCTCAATTGTATAGTGTGCATCACAATTACTGGGAGAGCTATATATAGCATGTAATCGGACTGAATATTCCGAAGAATAATAGTCTTGTTAATTTAAAGGCAGAAGAGACAATTAACACTTAAGTAGGATCTATGCATAAAAAAATGAAAAGTTCCTTACGATGTTGTATTCCTTTTCAAGTTTTTGCAGGGGAAAGAAAGAGATATTAATTTTGATTTCCCCACACTGATTTATCTACCCTTGCTTCATACTGGTAAATTTGCTTGTGCCAAAAAATTCTTAGACTAATAGATAGATTATTCCTACCATTATGTTGAGAAAGAGAAGCAAATAAAATCTCCTAACAAGGTTACAGAATTACATATATAAAAGCTAAAATTAGGTATACGTATAACATGCAACATTCCACCCCTGAGGCTGAACCATTCCGGTAAATATTAACCTAGTTATGTCTGTACAACATTACAAACAAGTTCATAATTGATAAGATTAAATGCAGAATCACTGGGCTGGTTAGGAGTAATATTTCTTTAGCAACAAGTAATTAATGGTGGAAACTAATTACTTGTCTTCATTATCAAATTCAACAAAACCATCTAGAAAAATAGCACACATGTCCTCCATTCTCAAGGCCGAGCAGATAATTGTGGAGGTCCCCGGCTTCCTCTGCAAACATAATTTGACCGTCTTTCGTCTTCTTCGTCCTCATTGTAGTTATCCCAAGTGTCAATATCGACTTCTTTAGAATCATAGTCTACAAAATTCCATATACCATCCCCGACCTCGTAGTCCTTATCCGTCGATTCTGGGTTGTCAAGCAAGTTGTCTATAGGCAAAAACAGGGAAGGTTGTTGACAGTGTTTGATAGAAATTCTTGAATCCCTTCTTTGCAATGAGCTGCCTCCTTTACTATCACCATTGTTTTTCTTCTTTAATTAAAGAGTGAAAATAGCAGAAATAGTTAATAGTTAATCACTATTAGTTATTAGTAGCAATGATAGGTTTTTGGCTACAAGTCAAGTATATAATGTTAGTGGAATAGTTAGTGGAGTTGTTTTGAATTCTATAAATAGAGAAATTTCATGTTATGAGTTGTGTCAGTTTTACAAAGAAATAAACACTCGTCCTTTGCTTCTCTTATTATTTTTCTCAATAATTGTAATAGTGGCATCAGAGCTAGGCTCGTGAGTGAAAACAAAAGTGAGTTGTGAGAATTGTATTGGTAAATTACGATGGCCACCTGACAATTTTGTGCAGCCAGCAATTCTTTGCTTTATGGTCACTATGATCATTGGAGCATGCTAATGGAGAACTTCTTGAGATCTAAGGAGTATTGGGCCTATTGGCAGGTTGTCGAATCTGGAGTAGCAGAGCCAACAGCCGTAGTAGTATTGTCATAGGTGCAGAAAATGGAGTTGGAAGCATTGAAACTGAAAGATCTTAAAGCCAAAAATTATCTTTTTCAAGCTATTGTTCGAGTCAGTTTGGAGACAATTTTTAGTAAAAATACCTCTAAACAGATTTGGAACTCCATGAAAAAAGTATCAAGGAAATGCAAAGGCAAAGCAGGTGCAGCTTCAAGCTCTTCAGACCGAATTTGTGATTTTACGCATAAAGTCAAGGGAGTCGGTCACAGATTATTTTGCAAGAACGATGGCAATCACTAACAAGATGAGAATCCATGGAGAGAATTTGGAAGACGTCATCATTGTCGAGAAGATTCTTCGATCGATGACTGTATGCTATATAGAAAAATCGAAAGATGTGGCATGATTATGGCATTTTCATTATAGACACCTGAATTTTGGTGGATTAAAGACTTTGCAGCAGAAAAATATGGTGGCTAGTCTACCTCAAATCACAATTCCATCAGAAGTTTGTGAAGAGTATGTCGTTGGCAAACAATATCGGGATAACTTCCCAAGAGTGTGTCGTTGGCAAACATTATGTATTTATATTGGAGCTGGTTCACTTTGATTTATGCAGACCCATAAATCCATCATCTAATGGTGGAAAATGTTATTTTACGATATTTATTGATGATTATAGTCGAAAAACTTGAGTCTATTTTTTGCAGAAAAAATCTGAAGCATTTTCAACTTTCAAAAATTTTATGACTCTTGTCGAAAAGGAAACAGGCAAGTCCATAAAGAATAGTTAAACTTTGCTAAAATTACCTCTTTTTTTTTTGGCTGAAAATATAAAGAATAGTAATTTGCTTAACAACACTTGAATTGTAAGCTTAGTCTTACTAGATTTTTTCCACAAAGTGGCATACAATATACTTGCAAGGTACCATCAGAAGCACCATTGAATCGCAAAATTATGTGATACATGTAGATGCATATGTTTTGTTTGTTTGAAGCGGATTACTGTTCACAGGACAAATTTTAATACATGTCTGATTTGATGTTATTTGACAATATCCAACAGTTTGGACCGGATTGGAATTGGAGGATTTTTCTTCCAACACTTAACCTCAACAGAATTTCTGGTTGAAATGTATTAAACGTGTGGTAAATTAACGTTCTCCGACAAAATTCAAACTGAAACTTAGTCCATACATATTATAAGACGGTCATTCGATGTTCGTGTTTTCACTTTATGGCGTATACGTTAATCAAAGCTGAAGTTAGTTAGATGAAACACAAGAATGATCCCACGAAGAGGAAAAAAAATCTATAAAACCCACCTCAAGATTCTACTTGGTTGTACACAGTTCTTTGTCTTTTATTTGTTTTTTTAACTTGTGATCAGCATCCAAAGACCCAAAAAAAAAAAATGAGAAACCCATGGATAGCAGCAGTGTTTCTCATGGCATTCTTGGTTTTCAGTGCTCATTCTGATGAGGATGATTGTTATGAAGCTTGCATGCACCAATGCACAGATTCTTTTTCTAAGGACTGTAAGAGCCATTGTGAATCTGCGTGTTCTCTTAAAGTTCCAACAACTCTGGATAGATCATTTTTCTGCAAACTTGGCTGTTCCCTTCATCAATGCTCTCACGTTACCGCAGGTAAACAACTACTTAGTTATCTCTCCATTTCTCTCTAATACTCTGTTTTCACAAAGTTTATATACATTTTTACAAGGGAAAAAAATAAAGAAAAACCCTTCAATCTCTTAACGGGTTATATTTTGACATGTCCTTGGACAGATAAGGCGAAATTTCGCAGCTGCACAGACAACTGTGGGGAGAGCTACTGCAAGCAATACCATGGAAATTAAGTAGCTAGTCAAGCTGGTGGAAGGCTACAGCCAGCATGACAATGAAGTCCAATATAGTCTCCTATTAGTTACTTATAGGAATAAAGAGACTACTCATTTGAACTTCACAAATATGAACTTTACGATGTATTTTCTGTTTCTGTCTTTTGGTTTTAAACTTTTAATGATTGTAATAACACATAAGTGAAGAAACCAAGTCAATCCTAATGAAACTTTCTTCGTAAATCCGATCTATTTATCACGAAAGTTTAGCATTAATCGTCTGAATTACTTGGTGAAATTTCTAAATTATCACCTCGATTTCTTCAATAATTATGGCATTCTCGCTCCAATGAATCTCACTGTGTATCATCGCTTGTCACTATTCCATTCCGGACCTTCATTTTCTTTCTATCAAACTGCTAATTTAGCATTTATCAGCCAAAAAACAAATGCAAATTTAGCAAATGTCATCCCTATTTGTCGCCAGAAGAGATTTTCTTTCAATCAAAATAGTGTGACGCTCAAAGATAGTTGCCATAGCTCTCAGTCTCAGAAACATCATGAATGCAGCTACGCAATTGTATAGGGTGCGTCACAATTACTGGGAGAGCTATAGTGTGCAATAGGACTGAATCTAAAAGCAGAAGAGACAATTAATTAACACATAAATAGGATCTTTACGGGAAAAAAAGTGAAAAAGTTCGTTACGATGATGTACATATTGGCGAAGAAAGAGATGTTGATTTTGATTTGTCAAGATTTTTACCTTTCATCTTCCCCACATTGAGTTATCTATCCTTGCTTCACTAATTTCAGTTTGCAAAGTAACAATGGACACCAAAAAATTAGCATTCACTTAGTTTTAACTTAGAACCACGAGAGAAACTAATATCATACAGGTAAACTTGCTTGTGCCAAAAAAACTCTTAGACTAATAGTTAGATTAATCCGACCATGTGTTTGGAGAAAGAGAAGCAAACAAAAACTCCTAAAAGGTTACAAAATCAATCAATAGCAAAATTACTTATATAAAAGCTGAAATTAGGGTATACGTACAACAGTAGTCAGTAGATATTAACATTATGTCTATAAAATATTACAAACAAGTTCATAATTGATAAGATTAATTGCAGAATCACTGGGCAGGTTAGAAGTGATATTTCTTTAGCAGCAAGTAATTAATGGTGGAAATTAATCAATACTATCGTCTTCATGATCAACTTCAACAAAACCATCTAGACAAATAGCACATATGTCCTCCATTCTCAAGGCCGAGAAGATAATTGTGGAGGTCCCCAGCTTCCTCTGCAACATTATTTGACCGTCTTTCATCTTCTTCATTCTCATTGCAGTTATCCCAAGTGTCAGTAACGACTTCTTTAGAATCATAGTCCACAAAATTCCATATACCATCCCCGCCTTCGTAGTCCTTATCGGTCGATGTTGGATTGTCAAGCAAGTTGTCTATAGGCAAAAACATGGAGAGATTGTTGGCAGTGTTTGGTAGAAATTGTTTCATGGAATATGACAGAAATTCTTGAATCCCTTCTTTGCAATGAGCTGCCTCCCTTACTATCACCATTGTTTTTCTTCTTCATCTAACATTGTACTAAATCTTAGTAGGTAAATCGAAAATAATCTTAGCTAGGCACATTTGCCCGTAAGGACCAATTAAAATCAAATTCGAAAATTAAAAGATCTAATAGAAACTTTTAAAGTTGAGGGACCAAAGCGTATAATCAATAAAAGTTGAGAGTCTATTGAAGCTGTTCACCATCTATCCGTGTATAGCATAAGAAATCTAATCGTATCCATCGCCCAAACAAGCACCAGTGTGCTATAGAGTATAAACAAGCCATATTATCTTACTGTCTTTTGAAGAAAGATAAATTGCCAGGAAAGTTCACTACATTTTACTTACCAAGAAGACTAAAAATTTGCCATATAAAATTACCCTTTTGCTGAAAAGACAAAGATTAGCTAGTAATTTACTCAAAAACACTTTGAAGTTTAAGCTTAGTCTTACTATATAGTATACATTTCTCTCTCTTTTTTATTCCACAAAGTGGCTTGCGAATTATATGTACAAAGTACGTACTATCAAAAGCACCATTGGATCACAAGATTATACAATAATATGAAGGCGCAAACGTTTGATTTATTTGAAGCGACAAATATGAAAAGTTGTTAGAAGTTGGTAGTGCTCCTGGCCAGTGCTAATGCATTAGCTAAAAGGCAGGCTTATTAGTGTTCACCGGACAAATTAATACATGTGTGATTTGATGTTATCTGAAAATATGCAAGAGTTTGGACCAGATTGGAACTGGAAGGAAATTCTTCCAATGTTTACCCTCAACAAAATTTCAAGCCTAGTGCTGGTTGAAAAGTAGTAAACGTGTGGTGAACATATATATTCTTAAACATAAATTTCGAACTGAAACTTAGTCCATGCATATTATAACATAGTCATTCAACATTCGTGTCCTTTTTTGTGGCGAAGACGTTAGTCAAACCTGAAGTTTGTTAGATGAACAGACAAGAATGATCCCATGAGCCAAGGGGGGGAAAAATCTATAAAAGCCCACCTCTAGATTTTACTTCGTTGTACACAGTTCTTTGTCATTTTCTGTTTTTCACTAGGGATCAGCATCCTTTAAAAAAAAAAAGATGAGAAACCAGTGGATAGCAGCAGTGTTTATCATGGCATTCTTGGTTTTCAGTGCTCATTCTGATGACGATGATTGTTATGAGGCTTGCATGCACTTCTGCTCAGATACTCTTTCTGAGGACTGTAAGCTCCACTGTGAATCTGCTTGCTCTGATAAGGTTCCAAAAACTCTGGATGGACCATTTTTCTGCAAGCTTGGCTGTTCCCTTCGTCAATGCTCTCGCATTTCTACAGGTAAACAACTACTTGGTCATCTCTCCAGTTCTCTCTAATACTCTGTCTGCACAAAGTTTATACACATTTGCAAGGGGGGGAAAAAAAAAGAAAAACACTTCAATTTTTTAATGATTATATTTTGATCTTGGACAGATAAGGCGAAATTTCGCAGCTGCATGGACAACTGTGGGGAGAGCTACTGCAAGCTACCACATCGCAATTAAGTAGCCAGCCAAGCTGGTGTGAGGCTAGCTATAGCCAGTAGTATGACAATGAAGTCCAAAATAGTCTCCTATATATTAGTTACTAATAGGAATAAAGGGACTATTCGTTTGAACTTCACAAATATGAACTTTATGATGTTTTTTCTATTTCTGTATTTTGGATTACTAAAAGAATGAAGCGAAGAAAGATAATCAATCCTGATGAAACTTTCTTCCAAATTCCGAACTATATATATTTATATATACGTGACAAAAGTTTATCATTAGTCGCCTGAAGTAAGTTGGTGAAATTTCTAATTAATCGTCACCTTTATGTCTTCAATAATATTTGTGGCATTCTGGCTCCTGTGTACATGTATAAGTTATGACCTATCTCAAAAACCACCGCTTATATTAGACTGGAAGTTGTTACTTGTTATCACAAAATAGAAAGTGATTTGCATGCAGTTGGTTTCAACCTAAAGTAGTACGCATTAATTTGCAACCAATTGTAAGACTTCATTTATAACAGAGAAATTATTTGATGGATGCATGTTGAAGCTATTTAAAGGAAAATGTTTAAACCAAAAAAAAAGGAAAATAAGATAATTATTTTCCTTCAATTATTTGGTTAATATAAAGGCTCCTTGAAGGAAAAGGGGTACATATTGGTAATTACGAGGTAGTTACGTAATTGCCTTAGAAATTTTTTTTCAGCAAAATCCATTTATAATGGCATTGACCAAGATTTCAATTGCTGAATAGAACATATTTCTTCTTCTTCTGTCTTTCTTTTTTTTTTTTTTTGACAATCTTGAATAATATGAGCGCTCTTGAAGGATTGAAGAGAAAAGCATTAACAATTAGAGATTGGTGGAAGGACGGATTAGATGGTTCGGAGGAGGAAGGAATGTAAGTGAGAGATTTCGGATTCAAACCCTCCCATTTACACTGTATATATATATATGAAAGGGAACTAGAGGTCTCATTTATCAAATCAACTAAAAAGCAAATATTGATAATGATACAACTCTTGCTATATATCAAGCCCTCACATTGAGTTCTCCTCCTAATGGATGGATTTGTAGATGGACCGGTAAATGAGCAAATGAAGATGAGAGGGGTCTACTTCTGTGACCAATTTCACATTATATCCTAAAGCTGTCTTTTATCTTTTATCTTTTTTTTTTGGTTTTAGTCAAGCACATTCTAAAGTAGTCCAGATAGCCTAAATTAACATAATCTCGCACACTATTTCTAAAACTACACTAGTATATGTATCTATAATTATAAGTGTGTGGTCGTATATTTTTGTTCATAATTTTAGTAGTCAGAGTTTTTTTTGGCCATTTTGATGAGTTGAGGGTGTAAAGTGTCTAAAAGAAAATGACAAAACTAAAAAATCAAATGGAAATGTGGAGGGTGTGAAGTGAAAATTTCCCTTATTTTAGTACTAATGCTTAATTTACCTCACTCCTCATTCAAGCACCAAATCACAAGTTACCACAACTCTTGGTAAAACTGCAACAAGTGACATATATGATACTTCAAAGCTGCTTGTATTGTGACAAAAATTTAGGAGTGTATACATGTAGATTACCATGTTTTTGAAAAATGAAAATTACCTAGACTTTTGTTTTTCTAAACTAAACTACAAATTACTCTCCAAGAAGAGTTAAATTTTGCTAAAATTACTCTGGAAAGCACCCCCTGAATTGCGAATCATATGATGTATGAAAATTTAGGACTATCCCGCACTTTTTGTGATCTACCGACATAGCAATTTTTTATTCTCCAAGAGTTTCGACCAAGTAAATTGGCAGAGGAAGAATTTTCTTGCAGTCTTGTCTCTTCACACGTTTCACGTCAAGAGATAAGGTTGAAAACTATTGAACGCAAGCTAAATCTTCTCAGAGATAAATCAAGAACTGAAATTGAATCGCCACAAACTGAGAAATGGTCATACAAAATTCATGTTAATTTTCACTCCATAGCCTACGTAGACGTTAATCACAGCTGAGATTAGTTAGGCAAACAGAAAAAAGTTATCCCATGATCCGAAGGAAAGGAAAAAAAGTCTATAAATACCCACCTCTAGATTCTACTTGGTTGTATATATGCAGTTCTTTGGTTTCTTTTTTTCCCCTTTTTACTGGTGGATTAGCATCATAAAAGATGAGAAACCCATGGATAACATCTGTATTCATCATGATGGCATTCTTGGTTATTTATGCTCATTCTCAACCTGATGACTCCTGTGAGAAACAGTGCTACAACCTGTGCCTCACTAACCCTCTTAAGAATTTCTACTGTAAAAATTATTGTCAAGGTTGGTGTGAACGACCTCCAGATGATAAACTTCCAACGACTCTGGATGGATCTTTTAAGAGACCATACTTTATGTTTCTTGGTTTTATTGAGTGTATTAAGTGAAGAAAGAAAGTTAATCCTAATGAAATTAACTTTCTTTCCAACTATATAAATGACAAAAGTTTAGCATTTATCGCCCAAATTAAGTTGTGAAAATTTCTAGTATCTCACGTCTAAGTCTTCAATAATCATGGACCTGTTGAAAAGGCTTATCACAATTCTAGTGTATTGCTCTTATGGCCGTAAAACAAACTTCTATACATTCGTTTTCTTCCTATCTAACTGCAAATTTCACGGATTGAAAAATGATTGAATAACATATTATATCAAAAGTGTAAAATTCCAGTCATGTTTGCTAAGATCATCGGAATGGATTTTCTCAAAACACATTTATCTTCATTATTTGACCAAAATTCCCTTACTTGTTCGGCACCACGCAGGAAAATTCACGTAAGTGAACCCTTTTTAAGTTTGAGCATTTTTTTTTCGATGCCCAGCACTGATTTTACTGGTGACCTGTAACAAAAAAATGGACGACATTGTTGTTTAGACTTTGAACCACACACCATCAATTTTGATGACAACCACCTCTTATATGAGACTCGAAATTCATGCACTAAACTTCAATGGATTTGTAGTTAATAACAAATTCCAGTTAAGATCTCAGGGCGTACGATTTTTATTTTCATTTTCTTTAAAACTTCTGAAAATTATTTATCTATAAGTAAATGAAATTATCATGTAATTAAACTACCTGGACGAGATACCTAATGTTCTTTGCAATTTTTTACCGCTGACTATCAAAACATTTCTCCATTAGTTCGTCAGATCCTTGTTTTTTTTAAAAAAAAAATAAGAAAAAAAAATTCCATAATAGTTGTAACAAGGTTTAAGCCAGAGAAAAGGTTAATTAATTTGAAATATATATATATAGGACTAAATCAACCCGCAAAATTATTTTTCAACCCTTTTCGAAAGGAATCGTGATCTTTTGATGACAGTTGAGAACTGATAAAAGTTGCATTAATTTCGGTCTTGCATGAATAGGGTGGAATATAGAAAAGTTGAAAACCAGTCATCAAAAAACTGTGTTTTCACTCCCAAGTATGGTAGTTATGTATAACCAACAAAAGATCAGCTAAGTTTGGACGACAAAAATGAATCCATGCTTGATCCAAGGAACAAGACCTATAAACACTGCTCTTAACTTTAGCAATAGATTAAGCTAATCAAATACACAGGAAATACCTAAAAAATGAGGACTGCATGGCTAGCATTAGTACTACTAACAGCTATGACAGTCCTGGTATTTTGTGATGATTCTTTCTCTTGGCCTGACGATCCAATTGTTCCGCATGATCATTGCTTTGCTAAGTGCCTAGTAGATTGTTCGGATCAAAACAACGTTGATGTTTGTATTGATAATTGTTACAAACGTAAATGTCATCCACAAGGGCCATCTCCAAATGGATCATTCTTCTGCAACTATGGCTGTTTACTTCACCAATGCGCCAATTCAACTTCGGGTAATGCAACATTTATCGCCATCTTTATCTCCCTAACTACTTCGATATGTTACTAGATATAAGTGTCTTAACAAATTTCTAGTCCCATATTTGTCCAACATTGCTCACAACTAACAAATTCCATCTTATTCATCGGGCAGCGAAAGCACAGATAGGCTGCATCAAGAACTGTTCCAACAGCCATTGCACGCAGTACAAACGTGTGTAACTTCAATTAAAGGAGGATTGAGGAGCCTGTATCCAGAATTCGAAAGAATAGTCTCGTAAGAAGTAGAAAATAAAGAGACTATTTAGTATTTACTCCCTTAAAAATACTGTGATATTTATGAGGTATTTTGCTTTTCAGTGACAGTCTTAATAAAACTTTCTTCCTGCTAATTAATTAGTCAACATTTGATAAATATTTGTTTTACGTAAAATTAGCTTCGTATTTTGCTTTCAGGGCCAAGCTTTAATGCAAATTATGCGGTAGCAGAGTACTCATATGACATCCCACAATATGTGAAAATACAAATATTTTTTGACGAAGGATTGGATACTGCAAAATAGAGAGTTCATTAGATCCTTGAAATTTTTTAGAGCAAATGACACTTTACCTCCCTATGATTTAGTGTTTTTTTTATATAAACTTCCCTATGGTTTGAAAAGCTAGACATAAGCCCCTCATGATTTAGATTAAAGTGTCAAAGTCAGTTGAGCATTTTTAAACAAGGGTAATACCCTTGGACTACTTTTTTAAGCTTTATCTTAACTTGTTCTGACATCAACTAGTTGGCCTGTGTCTCTTTTTTTTTTTCCTTTTTTTTTTTTTTGTAAAAAGGCAAGGGCTTTCCGCAAATTTGCCTTCAAAATCTGGCAATGAATTGGGAGAAATGCCATTAATGATCTTTTCTTTCAATTTCATGGAACCACTTGAAAGATCTACGCCACATTTGAATCACAATATAAAGCTAAAAGGTGTACTTCATCAAAATATGGCATTAAAAGACTGTATTAATGAAATAATATTTAGCACCAAGTGGTCAAAATCAATGCTACCAAAAATGTAAAAGGTACAAGGGTTGATGCTGAAAATCCATTTCTTTCTTTTACTTTATCATTTTTTATTTAGAGAATCAACAATGATTCCCCATTTACTGTCAGATGACTCAAACCCGCAACCTATGAGTTTTACAATTGAAGCGTTTTATCAGTTACAATTGAAGCGTCTTACCAACTAGATTACATTTCGTTGTCTAAAAATCCATTTCTTGTATAATGTACAAACCGTATATTTGATTTTCTTGCTTTTTTTTTTCTTTCTCCAACTGAAGGGATTTTTGTTCGTAGAAAACTGGTTTAAAAGTTGTATATGGAGAGTTGCCCACAAGATATGCCCATTTCAAAGATAGAAAGGTCACCACAGATTGGCCATCATTCCGCAAATTTGCCTTAAAAATGTAAA